CTCTTGGCAAAGGGCTCATCAGGATTTTTCGCTCCAAATAATTTATTCTGGCACATCTGATTACTGGGCGTATATTTTTTTTTATACATATATATATATATACACACACACATACCTTTCAGTTAACTGTTAAAAATAGCAAAATTTTTTTGGCGTACTACATCACTGACTATTTTAAATTAAATTCCTTCCTTAAGACTCAACTTGTATGTCCTGAAGAAAGCTCTTGAAGAAATACAGTAGAACCTTACAGTACTACTTCTATGACAGAATCATCAGAACTGATAGGGCACTGATGTTGTGAAAGAACACAGCTTTGACTACGCTGCTACTGAATCAAACTACAGTAAAAAGATACCTGTACTTTTATTTTTCAAATCCAGATGAACAGACATTTTGTAAATTAAGCTTTTAAAGGAGACTACTCACTAAAGAGTGAGTTACTAACGTAGCTCCAAAGGATGAAGCAAGTATGAACTTCCTTTGAATATATCCATCTTCTCTAGAAGAATCCAGATGGATTCTGAGGCGTAGAGAGCAGAACAGAGACCTTCTCCACCTCAACCAGTGGCAGAAACAACCTGGTCCTGTTGAGTCTCTGCCCAGCACTCTATCCTCAAGTCCTAGTTACTTTCTAGAAGAAAAATTATCTTCACAGCTTTCTTGCGTTCATTTATCTAGAACCATATCATGGGCAGCATCGTCATCGTGATGGTTTTTTTGCTTTGGTTTTTTTTTTTAATAAAGGACAAGTAATTTTGCTGGTCTGTTCCTAGCAACAGAGTACAAATTCAGAGAAAGTTTTACTCAATCTATTAGAGTGTTTTCATTGTCAGGTTAGGGCATACATCAGAGCACAACAGACTTACAAGACAAGTTGAAGAGCCCTAAAACAAAAAAATAGGACTCTTTTACTCAACCCTCTCTGTTCACTGAGCGTTAAGTTCTCAAACAAGAACCAGACTTTCACTTGCTCGTTGTTTATAGTGTGCTTATTTCTCCAAAACCACAAGTGTCACAGCAAACAACCCCAAAAGGCACCATAAAGGCCAAGAGTCTCAATACCTTCCGTGGTGAGCAAGCTCTCATTCAGGCCATTTTCTCCCAGACAGAGAAGACAAATGATTAATCTGAGAGCACCAAGAGCGCCCCATGCAACAGAATGACCAAACTCAACGTTTTCAACGAAGACCCCTAAAAATTTCCCATTAAAACTAACTGATCCTCCTGTGTGTGCCAATGACCACAACTGCAAAAATACAGTGAACAGTCCGCGCGCTTCCTCTTTTCTTCCTTCCTCCCCACGCCACAGTGACTCACTGCTGTCTTCTTGCAGCTAGACACCGACATCCCAGAGTCTGCTGGGCTCTCAACAGGGCAATCCACTGGCAGGGGCTCGCTGCTCCCAGACACCCCAGACTCTTTGGGGTGCAGCACTCTGCTCCTGCAGGGTCATGGAGACAACTTCAGAATTGGGAATCTGCTTTTGAGATGTGGTGCCAAGCAAAATAATCCCGGATTAATTGACTGCGGCGACTACTACATTTCAAGAGGAGAGTAAAAAACTAAGAGCCATCACGTGTTACCCTGCTTACTTCAAACCACAAGAAGCCACCCTGGTTTTCAGAAGGATTCCATCTATATGCTTTCCTTATCACTTGGAAGGAGCTGACAGCTTTCAGCACTTCAGCAAACACTGCTTTGAGATTCTTTAACAGAAGGAAGGAGCCAGCAGCCAGATGAGAATCATGTGAGGGAACGCATCTATTAGCAAGTACAGGGAGATGTCTTGTTAATACAAGACAGAAGGAGGGACAAAGCCGGGAGAGAAAGAAGCCAGCAGTTAGTCATTTTCTCATCGAGATACATTTGGCTAGAAAGGAGATGCACATCAATCTAGCATTCCTTTCGGCACTTTCGGAGTCAGTGAAAACCAATACTGAAAAGCAAAACCGAACACCAAAAGGTCTTTCTTCCAAACTGCTTGGCACCCTTAGCAGCTGTTAGATAATGAAAACAGTGAGAAAACAAAAATTTTCCTGGTGGTGCTTCCAAAGGACCTCCCATTTTCAGAAATACCTTTTTGATTCAAAATTGTTGCTGTTGTTTCAGACGCCCGTCAGCGAAAAATGAGAGCTTCTCACTTCCAAACCAGAGCACATCTGAAGACAACCTAAGGCTCAAAGGGACCCAGGAGTGGGCCTGCCAAGAACCAGAGTTGCCATTAACAAAACCCTTTCTCTGGCTCCTTCTGTAGGAAGAGATGGCTGAGCAGGTTTAGGGGTTTTCAGTGTTTTTTTTTAAAAGCCATTTTGGCGAGGAAAGGAGAAGGAAAAATAGAGCAGGGAGAGAGAATAAGGGCTCAAGTGAACAATGAGTTGACACAGGAGAAGAACCAAGCTTTGTATCACCAGCTATATGAGAAGGGGCACCATTTAGATATGTTCAGTCTGTGGAATAAAACTCTCACCATAGCAGTAAAGACCAAAGATACCGATTAGCAAGATAATTGCTCAGTGTGCATCACTGCCATTAAGAACATAATGAGCAGTAGCAAAAGTCACTCACGCAGTTTCTTCAAGGAACAAGAACATAAATAAATAAACAGATCAGTAACATGCTCACTAACGCTACCTCTAACTCAAAATAAGACACGCTTAACATCAAACCATCCATTTGCAAAACCTGCATGAAACAATTTTTAGAAGATTCTTTGCCCAAATAATCACCTATATTACCTCCTGAGCAACAGTGCTTCCCGCATTCCTTGCTGGCTGAAAAGGATTACCGCAGTGCTGCTATTTGCTCCAATCTGCTATCCGAAAATGACATTTTGGCCCACAGCCCATTTTAACTACTTATGTTTAAAAAAAAGCTCTAGATAATACAGTTGCTCTGAACAACATTTAATATATACTTGACTCATTGCACGTTGTTACTCAGTTCAAAAACTGCCACTGAACTTAATTTTAACAGCATGCATCAAAGCAAAAAAAAAGACAAAGAAATAGTTACCCCTTTCTTGACTAATCAATAAAGCTAAAGAAAAATTTTCCCCGAATTGCCATGGGAAAATTAGTATGCAGCATGCCCTTTCTAGGAGATACGTAGTTTTGCACCTGGATGTGTTCCTCTTTCGCATTTTAGAGAGAACAAAGAAAAAGAGGGAGAAAAAAAATCAGAGCATGAGTCATCATTATTTGCATAAAACTACAGCAAAATCAAGATATTAAAATCCATTTGCCATATTTCTTTTTTTTAATACTTCTCATAAGCCTATTTTCATAAGTCTTTTCATAATCCACTGCTGCCTTGTGTTGGAGTCATGATACTGGGCTCAACAGGTGTTTGATTTGACTTAATATAACTATCATTCTCTTCGAAAGACTCACCACGATAGCGAATAAGGACAAATACGGAAAGGTCAAAGAGAAGCCAGAGAGGAGGAAACCAGTGACAGATAAAGGGCCAGCTCAGAATAAACATATTTTCCCGGGGAATAATGCAGCAAATGGTAATAAGATATTGAAACGCAATTCAACTACTAGCTAAAGCTTAGTTAACAACAGTAACATTTCATTCGATCTGCAATTTTTAGATAAATGCAGCATTGAAGGAAAAAACTCCTGCAGATAAAAAGACACAAAATACTTCTAAATGTGTATATTATATATCTCATATTAAGATTTACACAGCTGCAACTGTGTAAGTACAGACTTTTCTATGCAAAAACAGAAGCTAGCTTTTTCTCTCTCACTGTGTGTATTTCTAGTAACTGGAAAAGCCATGATTAAAATAACAAACCACCAAAATACTTTAAGGCCTCTGAATAAAAACTGTGACAACTGGTATCACAGTGCTCTAGTTTATAGCCTTCTCCGAGAAGCCCATTTTAAGCCCCAGATAAACCCGATACTCCAACAAAGGAAGAAAACTAATTAGCCAGTTGGTCACAATATACCCCTCTTTTTTTTCCCAGATAAGGGAAATAACATCTGGTTTTCAAACCTGTTGTTCGCTAGAGCTGTCCTTCTAACTATTCTTCTTCGTCTGACGTATCGGTAAAACAATATAACATTTTATGGATTCTTGAATTAGCAGCCCTTTAAAGTGAATATAGGAGAGGAAAAGCTCTGTTGGCTTCGCTTTTTTTCTCGTTTCATATTAAGGAAAAAACTCGAAACTTCCTTTGATTCTTTCATCAACTTAGGCCCGTGGACTCTGGTGACAACAGGGACTTTTTATTAACACAACTACAAAGTTTTTAGTAGCATAGTGTTTATATATCAGTGACTCTTGCTGTGAAAAAAAGCGGGCAGTTCCCACAAACGACAAGGATGCTCAGTATAATGAATAATTGCTTAGTACTTCATTTTCTACACAATAATCATTTTCTTATACATAACTAAATATTTTAAGCAGTTTACTAATTCATAAGCTTTGCTGTGGACAGCTCTGTGTTTCTGGCATCAGTACACAGACTGCCTCAAGTGTTGATACTCTGTGTCCTCAAACAGTTTCTAAGTGTCCTCATAATTGCTTGTCACCTGTAAAAGAGGTTTAGATCCAAAGCAAAATTAACATATGGTGAACAGATGGACTCGGAACAGACGTTTGTCAGGAAAGCACTCACACCAAAGACTTTTTGGCTTCAGCCTTTCAGGACCTTCAGAAAAGTCCTACTTGAAGCTTCAAGCCATACTAATCAGGGGAACATCATTCCTCATTGACAATCTCGTGTGGCAAAAACTCTTGTGACCTGCTACAAAGAAGAATCCTTGAACTCTCCTGTTGTGACAATGTCTCCATCAACAGAAGAAACAAAGCATTGAGCCCGCAGAGTATCCCACCCATCCCAACAATAATAACTCATCTTGCATGAAACAAAAAAGCACAAGGCTGGTATTATGATGATTTGAAGGAATAAATAACTACAATTAAATTTAAAATAAGTAAATAAATACACCCCCACAAAATCTTCAAAATATTCCATTACTTACTGAGGAGGTAAGACAAGCGTTGTTGGCTGGGCCTTTGGTCTGCGTTTTGCAGATACTCCCATCTGGTTGGCTGAACGTTTCAAAGACTGCTGATTCAGAAGGCCAGATGCTAGCCCGGCATGGTACTGCAACTGGAGAATAAAAAAACCCATATA